ACAGAAAGATTGAGAATAAAAAGACTAAAATTCAGTAGAAAATTATATTAATATTAATTTAGCCCCATTACCTATGTAAAAAAAAATTGTGCGGACATTAATAAAACAATCATCTATTACGGATCTATTAGGGATCAGTTATAGAGCAATATAGGTATTAATACTAACTTAATTAAATAGGTGAATTTTCAATACATTGAAAAAATATCTTTATTTCTAACGCAAAACCTAGGGAGATGGATTTTTATTAGAAAACCGTATGAATCATACGTTATTATAGTTTATTTATTGGCAAAAGGTAAATATCTGCTCCATCTATTATAGATCAATTATAGATCCGTCATCCAAATTCAATAAAATGTTAATAATTATAAATGTAAACTTACCTAAAATGTTGTGGACATATGCACAGCACAAAAAGACAAAATTTATCACCACTAAATATAAAAATGTATCAAATTCACCAACTAAAACTGACATTTACATTGCAGCGAACTCAAAAGTAAGCACGCGAAGCCACAGTGAACAAAGGAATGAGATCGACCGTGCGCGCGCAGGCAAAGTAGCGCTAAAGTAAACATAACCTTAACTTTTTGTTTCTTTAAGAATTTTTAATATTTTTAATCCTTTTTAATAAAATTTTGCAATTATAGTAAAGTAAAAATAAATGTTATCTTTAATAAAATGAATTACGAGCAATGTTAATGGTGACAAATGCGTTAAAAAGGTTTAATGGGGAATTCGATCGTTCCCAGCAAACATTTTTGATTTTTAATTTAATATTACCCGTTATTCATTTTATTAAATTTAACATTTATTTTTACTTTATAATATTAAAATAACTTCAAAATATGAGTATCGAGATGAGTATGTTAAGAAAATATTTTACCGTTTGATTTTTGTACAAGCTTTTATTTTACTTGCAATATTTGTTTGTTTGTATGTTAAATGTCAAATCTTAAAACTAAATTTTGAACCATTTCCTCCCAGATGGTTGTATCTATGCTCAGTAGTTTAAATCTATGCGCAGTAATTCCTGGATTATTTTATATATGCGCAGTAGGTTGTATTTATGCGCATTAAATGAAACATGTCCAGCAAAAAATAAAAAATAAATGGTAAAAAACATTTTTAAAGTAAATCTTTTATTAAATGCTATAAAAAGAAGAAAATAAACTTTAACCCGTTAATGCCCTGTTTAACTTCTTTGTTTTTCTTTTGTTGCTATTTTGTTTTAAAATAGCAGTACCAAGACAGATAAATATAGTTGTCATCTTTTTTTTGTATCGTTTGACCGGCACATATTCTAAATGACAACAAATATAAAACGAAGTTTAAAATAAGCAACTGCCTTATTTTTTACTATATCTTCTTGTCGTCTCTAGATTGTTTTTCTAAGGTATGCTACAGATGTCAAAAATAATAATTAACCAAATACCATTATATTAGCCTTTACAAGTTTTATATCTTTTAGATGTATCATTAAGTGGCATCTATAAATGATTTGGCAATACATGTAAAAAACTAGTGAAAATCCTTAACATTTAAGAGACCTATCATTCTCAATGTCTAATACACGTCGAGCATAAGCTTCTACTTAAGTTTAAAGTGTATTATACATATTTTAGATGTCTTTGGAAAATCATCTAAAAACTATTTCATAAAATACGATCGAAATCAGATCCATTTGTATATCTAGATGTTATTTAGATTACTTATACCAGATTTAGACATCTATTAGATTACCTTGTGTTTCCTGAACAAAGAATACACTATACTGCAGTATAGTGTATTCTTTGTTCTAGAGGTCTTATACTTAAATGGAAGTATACGGTAAGCGTTCTTGTATTAAATTTACATATATTTAAATAAAGTATACCGAAATTTCATACAAATATACAGAATACTTCAAATAAGTGGCAATATTCCGCTTTGAGTAAAAAACTAGAGCTCTTTCATCTAAGCATTATTGTATATTTGATTTAAGTATACCAATTTTCTTTAAAATAAAATACCTTTAAACTCAATCCAAGAATACTCATCTCAAATCAAGTAACAGTTTTTCTTAAAAATTAAGTATATCCCATTACTTGTTTAAATGTACGCTAATCTCATAGAAATAATAAATATATTTAAATCAAGTTCCTAACATGAAGTATAGAACTATTCTTAAACCTAGTAAGGGATTTTTTTCCGTGTATATATTATTATTTTACCGACTTTTAATAAAAAATCAAAATCGACTCAAAACGAACGCAAATTCAACGCAAATGTTGAAGACTGAATTTTTATAAAAATTATCACGTTTAATAATTTATTTTAATATGTGTTTGATTCAAGCAATTAATTTAAAACCAAAAATAACTTAAAAAACCTAATTTATTATTGTTTTACCTACTTTTGATAAAAAATCAACGCGAATATTACAAAAAATGTAACTTAACCAAATAGTCAAAATTGACTCAAAATGAACGCTAAATCAACGCAAATTTAACGTATATATTTTATACAAAAATTGTTTGAGTAAAATCGGTAACCTAACCAAACAGTCAAAATTGACTCAAAATAAACGCAAAATCAACGCAAATATTTTATACAAAAAATGTTAGAGTAAAATCGGTTACCTAATCAATCAATTTTAAATCTATTTATAGTTAATTTTTCGGTTGTTATCGCAAAACTTACGTTAAATTTTAGTCAAATTTGAGTTACGTTTTGGTTCAACTTAACGCAATTTTTTTGTGCCAAATGTACGTTAAAATCCAATATTTTAACTTAAAAATTGGCAACTTGCGTTAAAATTTATTAAATCAACGCTAAATCTACGCAAAATTTACGTAAATTGACCGTTCGGTGAATTCGCTAGGGAAGTAACACTTTATCACCCTGTATCTTTTAAACATACGTAATTAGGAAAAATATTTATTTAGATTTTCGTCTTATTTTGACTTGCTTAATCTGCTCCTAAATTTATGCCACTAAGTTTAGGGACACCTTGTATATTTGGTATTTAAAACTAAAAGTTTGGAAGCAACTTCAAAATATTATTGTTGAGAATAATGAAATAATTATTTAAGAGTTAAAATCAAATATGTTTCGTCGAACACTAAGAATTTCTTACTTTTCCTAATCTTTATTTTAGTAAAAAATTGTCACAAAAACTGCTTAATATGTGTTTCGTTTAAAGATAAGCAAATTATCTTAAATGCAACCATATACCTATATGAAACCAATAAATTTTTACAAAATTAAACAGAGTAGGTACAAATTCAAAAAAAAACATCTTTTAGGCTTTACAAATAAATTAAGAAATGTCAAAAAAACAACTGTCCATATATTGCGCTCATTCAGGACCGTTTTGATAAAAATTATTGGCGGTTAATTTTTTATATAAATTCAGTTTTGTGATGGTGCTATTTGTGTAAAAGGTATGTTTTGTATATTTTTCCATTATATCTTATCTTTATAACGTTAAGTGATAAATCAATGGTAATAAGTAATTAATCCTTTAATAGATATTGAATTTAAACTATTTTATAATTTATTTCATCTTCTTCCTAGTAAAGTAAACTAATCTTTATATAATTTTGGGGGTGGTTAGACAAACTTAATTATATATTTCTTTATCTACTCCTATTGCATAATGTTGGTGTTTTTCCATATAAAGGGTGGGCCATGTTTATGTTGAATTATAAAATAGCAATGAGAACAAGAAAAACTGTTTTTTTCAACGAATTTTGCTTTATTTGATACAATGTTTCTTCCGATTAAGTATGGAAAATGATTTTATTTAAGTGGCCACCTCAGCTGGCTCGGCAGTAGCCCATCCTGGAACACCAATTTTCGAGCACTTTGTCAAAAGTTTGCTGCTCTATTTAGACAATTTGAGCTTGAATGTTTTGTTTTAAATTGTGAATAGGCTTTGTTACGGCGACGTGTGGATTTTCCGTGGCCCAAATCCTACAGTTTTGCTTGTTGACATAACCTCCGAGGTAAAAATGCGCCTTATCCGAAAAGATGATTTTTCTTGCAAAATTAGGCTCATCGTTCAACTGGTTTAAAGCCCACTCAGCAAAGCGAAAACGTTGTGGATGGTCAACTTGCTTTAACTCCTGAACAAGCTGGACTTTGTACGCAAACATACCGAGGTCTTTGTGCAGAATCATCCTCAGAGTGGTACGGGAAAGGCCGAGTTGTTGACATCTGCGCCGAGTTGATGTTGACGCGTCCATGCGTACATTTTCGGCCACAGCAGCGATTGCTTCAGGTGTACGTCTAGGACGAGCATGCGAAACATGTTTTATGTCCACCAGCATTCCATTTCTGCGCAATTTTTTGATCAAATTTTTAATACTTTGGTTTGACGGCGCCTCATTTCTTCCAAACGCAATTTTCTTGCCGTCTCTGCGATCACAGTCATATTCAAAGTAAGTTTTGAGTATTTCGTAACGTTGATCCAAATTTATTCGGTGCATATTTTGTAATCGGAAGGTTAAAACTAAATTACTGTCAGCAATTTATGGCGCTTAAGTTAAAAGCTTCATTAATAGCACGTAGTTTAAAATTCAACTTATAGATGGCCCACCCTTTATAATGATAACCATTATAACCGCCACGAAAATAATGAACTCATAATTTACGTTGTTAGACATCAGTGATTGGCCGATTTTAATATTTGCTGCGATTTGAAACCACCAGCTTTTGATATGGGAAAAGGCGACTATATTTTTAATTGGTGGAATGGGAGGCTAAACATCAGATGTAAGATTTTATGTATGTACCAAATATTTTACTTACCTTTCCCAGTGCTCTTCGTGTAAGTAAACAGTTTTTTAATTTTATAAAATTTTGTTTTAATATTTTCGTACCAAATTCTTAAATAATTTCATAACCAAACACATAATTCTTTATTAGACTTTTTTCTGTACAATAACACGGCAAACAACTAAACAAAACAAAAACAACAATAATTGTTTAAATTCCCTAAAAAATATCAACATTCAATCGCTCTTTGAATGCCTGTGTGAACTTATAACGTTCTCTTCGGGCGACGAAGTGGAATTTTCGTGCCCCTTAACAGTAAACGTTACATAGTAACGTTTATTCTGATCCAAACGATCAGTTGGCAGTGATATTAATTGTTTCTCGGGCCCGTGGCTCAATTCCAGGGTCACAGATTTTTTGGGGTTTATCGAAGGTAGAAAACCCGCTGTACCAGGCTTGCATTCCGGAAAACCAATTTTCGGGATCGAATGGTGGTCCATTTTAGGCACTAAAATAAAAATAAATAATCATTTTAAAACAAAATATTGTTAAGGTAGTATATCCATTTGAAGAGGTTCTATAGAATGTCTTTAAAAAGTAATATATGATTTTTTGAGGCAAATTAATTAACAAATAATTTCAGATTTTTTACAGCACAGATCTGCACAAGTGTTATTCTCCATAGATCTTTTAAAGTTATACGTATTTGGGTATATTTATATAATTATTTAAAATTATACTACTTTGTTACCTTCACTTATAAAGTAAAATATACGTATTTATTTATATTTATATAATTATAAGGTACCTTTTAGGATTATAATACTTTGTTAATTTCAATTTTTAATAATAATATATTTTTTAAACTATAACTATAAACGTATACAGGGTGACAATTTTAAAACGAACAACACTTTATATTTCTTTAACTGAGAACACTATAAAAATTTGACAAAACACGTCAATTTACAAATCAAGTGGTACAACTGTTGAGGTATTTGTTGTTGTATTACATTTAACCCCTAACCTCCAGAGCACCTACCCCTGAAATTTGTATAGCAACCAGTGCTGGATTAACCAATAGGCCAACCTAGGCTATGGCCTAGGGCGCCGCAAAGCCAATAGGCGCCCAGGCAGAAGGCTCAGTTTTATAAAGTAGGTTGAATATTAAAATTCACCAATTAAAATAAATAATTATAATTATCAAAAGTGTAATACCTTTTTTTAGCAGAAGAATTCAATAAAATACATTTTGAAAACAGTAGTCGAAATGTTATAATTCTGTTTTAGGTTATTAAAAAATAGTGAAAATTAAGTTCTTCATTGTTTTGTTTTTCTATAAAAAAAATAAATTATTTTTTTATTTATTTTGTTGTAATTTTTTTATAAAACCCTACTTGTACCTCTATGTGCACCCCTGTCGGCTAATATGTATTGTGTTATATTAATACCATAGGTACTAATATGGGCTGTATTTTAGGCGCCATTATTATTGGCCTAGGGCGACAAATTGTCTTAATCCGGCCCTGATAGCAACCCTATTTATTTCACCATTTTTGAAATTCTTATGTAATTCTAGATAAGTTACATTTTTTTTTATTTATTTTTACCAAAATTGAAGTGGATGAATGAATGAAATGTATTACATTTTAATCTTTAAATTAAAATAATGTAATAAGTTTTCAAGCGGTTGCGTTTACTGTGCCGTCACAGCCATTCATTTTAAAATTTAGTGTAAAACTACGTTTAAAATGCTTACCTTTATTTACATTTTTTTTTATTAAAAACAAATTTTTTGTGCACTTTTTTTTATTTGGTTATATCTGATATAATTTAGAAGTAATAAGTGCAGTTCGTATTTTCGTACGCCTGGTGTAAATTTATTAATTTGATGTGCCGAATCGATTAGTAAAATTAAGTTATGGTATACTATAGTTGGGTGTATTTTGTATCCTTTTCTTAAAATGGTTTACACTATTGAAGAACGCGTTGAAATGTTTTTTTATTTATGGAGCGGAAAACGGCGGTCATTTTTAATGATCGGCATCCAGAAAGAAATTTTATACATAAGTACATCCGAGAATTAGAAGCTAAATTTGAAGAAACTGGATCTGTTTGCATGCATTCCTCTTCTTATTGCAATAGAAAGAGTAATGATTGAAGTTCTTGGCCAAATTGCTATGGCTCCCACTATGTCGCTTCGTCAAACTGCAGAACAAACTGGACTGTGGCGTGAATCAATCAGAAAAGTATTGAAGCTTCACAAATTTCACCCATCCCTCCAAAAATAAAGCAAAAATGTCATAATGTCAGTTAAACCCAACCTAAATATGTGACAGAATCTTAAATAAATATAAATTAAATGTTTAAAAAAAATAGTACCTATATTCTCGCACACAATCTACTGCCTTGGCAGTAAAATGTATGCTCGGCTATAATATGAGCTTTCTCCGCCTGGTATATATATACTATTGTCGTGTCAATAATATATATACTATTGTCGTGTCAATAAAAATCCAAAATGTCAAAATAATATACCTAAAAACAAAAAAAAAACAAAATCCAATCCAAAATCATCAACAAAAAAACAAAGGTAGCCATACCGCCCAATAATATTTGTGTAAAGTGAAGAAAAATATCTCATTTTTTTTCTGTAGGTTTAATTAACAATAATTTAAAAATAGGTAAGTGTACTTAAATATGACGCTGTCGCTGCAACCGATTGATTTATAGCGTCGCGACGCGTCGTGGCAGTGTTTTGAATTGTGCTCCACTCCACATAGCTGCCCGGCTATGTTAAGGTTAAAAAACAGGCTTTTTGGTGCCGGTTGGTGGAAACAAACGCATGTTGACGAGATAAAAGGCCAGTTAATTAAAATAATAATTTACTGAAAAAGTAGGTACATGTTGGATTTTTGTTGTATAAACGTCGTTATATATAGTCTCAAACGCCAAAAAGAATTAGAATATGTAAAAAAATGGTAAAATGCTCAAAAATTATTAAAAATTACATCTTTAAATGTTTAGCACAATATGGTTAAATGATCAATATCTATCCTAAAAATACCGGAAATAATCAGAATATGTAAGAAGCAATAATCTACCTATACAGGAGCCACCCTGAAATCTGAATTATTAAGTTTTCCAATTTACCCCCTTAGGGATACAATTTCAAAACATCCTTTCTTAGCGGTTATATATGTCATTCCCCAATAAATCAGTAATTATTAGAGTTGGGGATGGTCAATTGACCGCTACCTATTTGACCGGTCAAAATATATTTAATTTTTGCAGCATTTTATTTAGGTATCAACCCGTGAATCTAAAAATTTTTGCGATCGTGCAATATCGACATCACTTACAATTTGGTGGTTCCCCGAGTCGAGGGGTTGCTAGGCCGGACTCGGCGCTTTGCCCTTTAATCGGGACATATATTTTTTAATATCGAAACATAACTTTTTAAAGCCGCACAAACGTTGTTAAAGATGGACATAAGTTTTATAATAAAAAAATATTGGTAAAGTATTTTAATTACCTATTTATTAAGTACAAATAAATCACTGTAATATTTATTTTGATATTTTATTTAATTTTATTTTGGTCAATTGACTGGTCAATTGACCAAAATCAATTTGACCGGTCATTTCCACAACCCTAGTAATTATAGTGTGGCCAATGAAAATAGTCCAGCAATGTTTACGGCTTTGTATGTGAAATTAAAAAAAAAACTTCGGCTTTATACTTTTGTTTTCAGGGAAACATATTTACAAATTCATTTTATCACTGTAACTTGAACCCCTTAGCGGGGGGCGGCATTTACCCATATTTTTTTAAATGGTATATTGTGATACATCTTTTGAAAGGGCATTCAATTTTCTTTAAAATGGAGATTCGTTTTTTAAATTATATGTATCCCATTAAAAAAAATAAGGGTGGTGTTTATTTCCACCAAACAGTCCAGTTTTCAATGCGCCACACTGTATAATTACTGATTTATAAGGGTATCCCTATTATAATAATGGCGTAGATAACCGCTAAGAAAGGATTTTTTTTGAAAAACTAAAAAATTCAGATTTATTCCCGACGCATTCGCCATTTTTGAAAGTACGCATTTTAATTAAATTTGGTATGATAGAAGGATTAGGGGCGGAAATGGAAACGGGACAATTTTTGATTTTTTTTAAGTAAAACTTTTTTGCAGACAAGGTAAACCAAAACTTGGCGTAGAACAAATTTTTAAAATTTTAAAATTATTGAAATTTTTCAAAAGCTAAAAAGCTTAAAAGTTGGAAAGAATCAAAAAAGCTTAAAAGCTCATACCTTAAAAAAGCTTAAAAGACCAAAAAAATCTCAAAAGCCTAAACCTAAACAATATCCCATGTATTATGATTATTGATTAAATAAAAACAAAATACAAATTTAATTAAATTGTACTAAACCCCTTGGTTTTACTTTTTTAATATTTGACTTTACTATTTATTTTTTTTACTTTCTATTTTTTTACTTTTTTATTTTTCTTATATTGGTTTTTTGATTAAAACAAAACCGGTTTTTTGCAGTCAAGTTTTACTTTTTTGACCTTTGACTTTTTTTACTTTTTCTATTTTTTTACTATTTTTACTTTTTCTATTCTTTTACTGCTGCTGGTTTGTTTTAATAATGGTAAAATGTCAGTTAACTTATAAAGAAATGTTAATAAAATCTAAATTAATTTTAAAAAAGGTCTTAAAATTAATAATAACAAAATTTCAAAATTGTCAAAGTGTATATGAATGTACATATAAGTAAACAAATATAAATTTTTTAAAATTACATCAACTAATAAAATTTAAATACAAAAAAAAATTAAATATGAAAAACAACACAGATTTAATCTCAGCGCATTCGCCATTTTTGAAAGTATTTAACAACAGAACAGATTTTAATTACGGGACAATTTTTGAGTTTTTTTTTCAAGTAAAACTTCTTTGCAGACAGCGTAAACCAATACTTGGCGTTACGAAAGATCACGTATCGTTTAAAATTGGGCTAAATCTAAGCTGTCGTGGTCTAAAAATGAATGGAGTAAAGTCATTTACAGTGACGAAAGTAAATTTGGGAGACTACCGACAAGACAGAAGCCTTCCATAAGGATTGTCTCAAAAGAACAGTCAAGTTTCCACAAGGGCCTTGTGACGTATTTGAAACGTATATCACTGATCATTATATTACAGCTTTGTGTATAAATAACTTTAAAAAAAAACAAATTTCGAAAAAACTCATTTTAATAAAATTAATTTTTCATCATTAACAGAAGATTTAAGAACGGAAAATTGGAATAATGTTTTAAATAATAATAATTCTGAAGAAAGTTATAACAAATTTATAAACTTATTAAAATCCTACATAAATAAAAATACAGAAAAAATTAAAGTTAGAAGTAAACATTATAAAATAAAGCCTTGGATTACAAATGGAATTATTAGTTCTATAAGACATCGAGATTATTTAAAAAAAGTGTCAAATAGTACTAATAATAAGGAACTTAGTCTGGAATATAAAAGATACCGAAATACGCTTAATATGCTAATAAAAACCACAAAAAATAATTATTATAAAAATGAAATCAGCAATGCGGAAAAAAATTATAAAAAAATTTGGGATATTATAAAAAAAGCTTCAAATACAGAAAATAAAAATAAAAATGAGCAATATAACATTACTAATGAGATAGGGGAAAAAATTTTGAATGAAAAATCTAAAGCTAATTATTTTAACAACTTTTTTGCAGATGTAGGAAACAAAATGGTAAACAAAATTAATAAACCTAAAACCGCACCAATAAAAACCAAGTCTCAAGCTATCAAAAACTCCCTTTTTTTATATCCGGTGTCCAAAAATGAACTTATAGAACATATTTCTAAATTAAAAAATAAGTCTGCAGGAGGTTTGGATGGAGTATCTGTGAGTATTATTAAAAAAAATCATATCCATATTTTAACACCCTTATTGCATATTTTTAATTTAATTCTAACACAAGGCATAATTCCAAAATCTATGAAAGACTCCATTATAACAGCCGTTTATAAATCAGGTAAAAAAAACTTAGCTACAAACTATAGACCCATTTCAGTAATTAATCATTTTGCTAAGCTACTTGAACAATGTATTAAAAAACGACTCATAGAATTCTTAGAAAGTAACAATGTAATAAGTTCAAGTCAATATGGTTTTAGAAAAAAACTGAGCTGCGAGGATGCACTTTTAGAATTTACAAAGGGTATTGTCAAGGGCTTAGACAATAATAAAAAGTGCTTAGCATTGTTCTTGGACTTAGCTAAGGCTTTTGACACCGTAGATCACACAATACTCAGGCCCGGCTCCAGACATTTTGGTACCCCGTGCAAAAATATTTTTGCCGCCCCTCATAGTTACCTACTTTTTAGTGCCCATTAATTAGGTACAATTTCTAAAAAAAAAACTACTTAAATAATATCGTCCCCTTAATGCTACAATAGGATATCTGAAAAAACACATTTGTAAATAAAATATTCTAAAATTGGTATGTAAGTATTTAGTAGAACTGGATTCGTAAAATTTCGAGTTATCCAGTTGTAGCATTAAGGGGAAGATAAAATTAACAAAAAAGTTTAAAAAATTATTATTTAATAACAAATAAATAAAATATCATCGCATTCTAAAAAAAACAGTAATATATTCTAATAATAATTATTTTATCTAACATTATAAAACTGACCAGTAGTAAAAATAAGAAAAATCTGTTTAAATTAAAATTAAATTGGAAATATCTGATTTCGAACCTATATCGTATCGTATTGAATAACTTTTTGCCACCTTTCGATTTTTGCCGCCCTTCGAATTTTGCCGCCTCGTGCAGGGGCACGGCTGCACGTACCCTGGAGCCGGCCCTGACAATACTGCTTGATAGATTGGAGAAAATTGGGGTTAGGGGTACAGCTTTAGACATTTTTAGGGACTATCTTTTCCAACGAATACAATATGTTAGAATAGGCAAAACGCTGAGTGACCCAGCTACGGTTTCTAGGGGAGTACCTCAGGGAACTGTGCTGGGCCCAATTTTGTTTCTAATTTATATAAATTCTATATATAATGTAGAAATTAACGGCCAAATATTTTCGTATGCGGATGACACCGCTCTTGTATTTATTGGTGATAGTTGGGAGGAAGTCTTTGGAATGGCTGAAGCTGGAATAAATAATATTAAATTATGGCTTGATTTCAGTCTTCTGAGTCTAAATGTTTCAAAAACAAAATACTTAACTTTTTCATTAACATCTTGTGGCCAACCGCAGAATAAAACACTAAAAATGCATACTTCTGACTGCGCAAATAACAATTGTAATTGTGAAATTATTGAGCAAGAAAGAAGTATAAAATATCTGGGTTTATTCGTCGACAAGCTCCTGAAATGGGACGAACATATAAAATATTTAACGAACAGACTCAGAAGACTGAATCATATGTTTTTTCAAGTTCGTGATTTACTGAGTAATAATTTACGTAAGATCATCTATAACGCCTTAGCTGAGTCCCTACTTAGATACGGAATACTTATATGGGGTGGAGTCTATCAAACAACATTGCAATCCCTTAATATAGCCCAAAACACCATTTTAAAAATATTATTTTATAAGAATTACAGATACTCCACTCAACAATTATATAGTGAGTTATGTATTTTACACATTAAACAACTGTATGCTTTTCAAATTGCCCTGTACATATTGAATAATCAAAATAAATTTTATAAAGTTGGTCCTATGAAAGTTACAAGACAACTAGCAAATATCCCTATGTCCGTTCCATTGCTTAAAAAAGAACATACACAAAATACGTTATTGTATTATGGCCCAAACATTTTTAATATAATCCCACCACAGCTAAAAGGTAAAGTAAATTAAAAAAGAAACATGATAGAAATCAAACAATTTATAGTAGCAAAATACACCTCAATAGAATAGTATATTAAAGTACAAGTTGCAGAAGGCCACATATTCTCGCACGAATTCGAAATTTGGCCTCGAGCGACGAAGGAGCGAGTGGACGAACGAATGAGTGCGAGAATAGCCTTCTGCAACGTGTGATTTATACTATTTTCTCGATTTTAACTTTTATTTAGGTTTTTTTGTGGTCGTTGTTAGTTAGGGGATTTTTCTCGCAAAATGTCAGTTGGCAACACAAAATGACAATATTTGTTATCCTGCACAAGTACAACCTGAACTGCACTTTTACACATTAAACTTAAAATTTTGCATTAAAATGCATTGTTGGAGCAAACTTTATATTACAAAACAATAATAAAGGCTTCATTTTCAATAAAAGTAATGAATTTGAGGTTATTAATCAGTTTGACATTTTGGGGGTACCAATACTTAAAAACTAAATGTTACCAAAAATCGTTTAAGAATGAGCTTCATTCTTCAACGATTTTGCGTGCGAGAATATGACATTCTTACATAAAAATCGAGAAAATACAATTTTTATTAAAATCATATAATTCACAAAAAAATATATTTATTATTTTTATTATTCCTCAGGATTTACCTTCTTCAATAAAATCTCAGAGTACCACATAATATCTTACGTTTCCTTCAGTTCTCTTCAATTTTAATTTTATTTTAATTTTTATGAGACTACAAATTTAAAATATGCATTTATATATTGAAATAGATAATAGCTATGTATGATTTATTTAAAAAAAGATACCGCACACAAACCATGTTTAGGCGGATCTTAATGTTCATGTAATGCTTGTAAAATTATTATCGAAATAAATATGAAAAATAATGGTGTGGGAATGTATGTCGGCAAAAGGATTGGGCACAGTACACTTTATTGAAGGGACTGTTAACGCAGCTAAATATCAGGACATTCTAACCAGCTCGTTTTTACCAAGTGCTGCAAAATTATATCCCAATGGGGATTTTATATTTCAGCAAGACGGTGCCTCATGCCATACTGCAAAATCTACAAAAAAGTGGTTTGGGGAAAATAATATTAAGGTTTTGTAACATCCTTCCAGCAGCCCGGATCTTAATCCTATAGAGACACTGTGGCACAAGATGAATCAACATCTGAGAAATAATCCACAACGAACCATACCACAATGACGTACCAAATTACAAGAAATTTGGCATAATTTTACAACTTAACTCTGTGCAAGCCTGTGAATACGATGCCTGATAGAGTTCAGGCAGTTATTCGGGCAAAATATCTGTTTTCTTTCCTTTAAAAAGTTTTTTTATTTTAACGATTGTTTATTTGATAACTAAATTAATACTAACTTCAGCCTGTAACTAAAAACCTGTTGCTAACTTCAGCTTGTGACTACGCCATAAAGCCACAATTTGTCAATGTGTATTTAAAAGGTCACTAAGTGTCATGGAAACATGTACGATTATGGGCGTTTTAAAAGTGGGAGTAGAAGAAATTCCAATAAAACATTAGTTATTAGAAATGACAATTTTTGTAACCTCTACAAAAGAAAGCTAACTTGAAATACTTACGATAGGCCGCACACGGTACTCCAGTATAGGCATGCGTGGTGTGCATGCAGCGATTGGTGCTCCTGGTGCATTGCAAAGGATTTGCCGTTTCAGGTAAGCCCTTCAAATGCGCAAGGTTGGTTTTCTGTAATCTTCTCAGCGATTCGTAGAGAAATTTCTCGAAACTTTTGAAGGTGTAATCTTCGGGTACGTAGCGTCCCGCTCCTACGGTAGAAAGGCAACTTTGATGGTACTGATCGATGGCGCGCTTCACCAACATCGCTTCGTTGTGCTGGTTTGATCGGATTTGGAAGCGTTTTAGTTCTAGCAGTTGTTGGAAGATCTTTCGTTCTAAATGGTATCTAAAAAAATAATAGGTCATAACATCTTACGAGTATAGAAATGAATGTTAAAAGACATTATAGGTAGGTACGAGCATATCAAAAACAATGAAAATGTTGAAAATAGACCAGGCGGAGAAAGCACATATTATCGCCAATCATACATTTCACTGCCGAGGCAGTAGATTGTGTGAAATTAATAAGCTTTCCCTGTTGGGTTTTATATACTTTTTTTTCAAGAATTTAAATAAATAATTCTGTCACAAAATTTTTAGCTTAGGTTCAACTGACATGATAATATTAAAATCCTTATTTCTGTACGGAGTATAATAATAATAATTTAACTTTTGAACTAGTATTTATATAAAGTATTTCTATATACAGGCTGTTTCTTTTAACTTGAGACAGCTCAATATCTCGAGAAATACGCATTTCAAGGAAAAATGTCTTAAATAAAAGGTTAATGTGACCAAAGGGGACATTATTTGGTGCTACCTCTAGCCACCCAAAAATTACAACAAAAATTAACATTAAATCAACAATAGTCGGCTCTGAAAACAATTTATAACAAATGTACGGAATGTCGTCCTTCCATTTCGACACATTTTTGAATGCGGGTAATGAATTCTGCGTTATCGCCGCATAGGCGTTCCTGATCCGCTCCACCATGTCCTCCCGAGTTGTAGGAATTGCAGAGTAAACTTTTTCTTTCAAGTAACCCCACAGGAATAAGTCTGGTGGCGTAAGATCAGGTGATCGAGCAGGCCAACTTACTGGACCACGTCTACCGATCCACCGGCCATTGAACTCCCGATCCAACACCTCTCGAGCAATTGCCGAATAATGCGTAGGACAACCATCATGCTTCTATTTTTTTATTTACTACCAAAATCTGTGAAAAAAATTGGGTAATCCCGTTTGAATTTCCAAAGTTACCCCCCGTTTCACCCTTAAGGAGGGGTAGGGGTGGCTAGTGGTAGCACCAAATAATGTCCCCTTGGTCACATTAACCTTTTATTTAAGACATATGTTTCCATAAAATGCGTATTTCTCGAGATATTGAGCTGTCTCAAGTTAAAAGAAACACCCTGTATATAGACTTATAATATGAAAATTATTGTACGGTTAAAAAAACTTTAAAGGTCTCATGTTAAAAATGTAAATATCCAATTGGCCAAAGTGACAAAAAAATCAAATGTAAAGAAGAAACTAAAAATAACTAAAACATTATGGAATGTCAAAACAAACGCAAACAAAAATTAAAAATTACTTAATCTGAATTTGTGAAAAAGCACTAAATTGTTTAAAATAATAGTAAGCCTCAAAAACAACCATCATAAATATTTTAAACAAACAATAAATTGTCCATAAATATTTAAATTTTAAATCTGAGAAGGGTAGAGAGGTCCACGCGCGGAATTGTGCTCAGGCCTTGGCATTGAACAAGACTTTTTACTTTTAACCTTTTAATTCTAATAGATTTAAAAAACGCCAAGGCAAAATGTTTAAAAGCGCCCGGTAGAGCTGAAATACCACGCTATCATTGGCTCTCATTAAAAGTTAAATAACTCCTGCAATTTTGCAAATTCGAAAAAATGGCAAAGAATTTCAGAAGAAATTTACTGAGCCGCCAATTTTGGTACACCCTGTATATGTCCCGATTGTAAAGCCTGTATTTTCATTTTGTTATTACTTAAACGTATTATTGTATTATTAATTATGATTGTAAATTTTATTAAAATTTGCTTAATAATTATTAAGTAATATTATAAAACGTATTTAATTAAAATACGTAATTGTAAAATAAATAAACATTTTAAGAAGGCTAAGCCTTTTTTGCTATAAAAGTATAAGAATATAATATAATTTCAAAAAAATAAGGACCATAAAAAATTGCATTAAAGTAATGACATGGTTGAATGGGCGCCCCCCCTGGAAATTTCCATTGCAACCCAACTGTAAAATATATTGATACTTAATTTTATTAAGAAATTTGCATGTTTAATTTTATTTATAAAATATTAGGCACAAATAACTTACATTTTCTTTAATTTGAAATGGTTCACTACAGGTCTGCAACTGCGACTAAATTAATTAACATCTAATTCCCAGAGCTAAACTGTATTAAGACCACTTTTTTATAATAACATTACATATTTTTTGCCTACATTTTTCCGAACAGATATTAAAGAAAAAAATCTAATGCAAGATAACCGAACAAAAGCTTCATTCTATTATTTTACCATTTTGATTTGTAGACTGACATAGCTTAAGAGGGAAAATAATAAACAATACAAATGCATAAACAAAATTGCAATTGAATTTTTTTTATAAAAGAAAATGAATAATAAAGTTATATTTTTAATTTTATAAAGTATTAATATATTTTAAAAGCAATGTATTTTTTTGCCAACTATAACTCTGGTCAACAGCCATTTTGTTTTAAATAAAAAATCTGTTATCAGAGTTTGTCTTACCTTCTAATATTCGTCTGTATAGTCTGCGTGACAGTCTTCATATTGCACCCCCTTTCACTCATATTTTTCCATTTGGGAATTCTGCTGCTCCTAGGGCTGGGTTCGAATCCCGAATCAATCAAATTATCGTAATCGCTACCTGCACTCTTGGACTCTCTAACCCTAGATCGTCTTTTGATCCTCTTTCGCGTACGCCTATGCTCGCCATCCGCTTCTTCGCTATCTTGCTCCTCGTGGTCGCTGAAAAGTGAGGTTAGATGCGGAGCGGACATGTTGGAGTTGGAACGCGTCATAAAATGGATTCTGTTGTCGCCCAAGTGCGGTAAAGAGGGCACTTTAACCTCCAAACTGGATTTGGACTTCCGTTCAGATCTATCCGTACCTATTGGTGTGGGTATTTTGCTTTTTATTTTACTTTTATTATTTGTTTCTTGATTATCTTTTAATTCTTCAGATTTTGAGCGGAGTTTTTTTTTTTGTTTCTTTTTTTCATCTTTTTCGTCGAGTACTTTGAAGCTTCTATGGGTTTTCTGCGAAGAACTGGATTCACTTGAGTCCTCGTTGATTTTTGGTGATTTGGTTTTGTTGAATTTTTTTTCTTTGTGGCTTTCTTTAGATATGCCGGAGTCATCATCGGATTTTAGTATTTTTAGTATTCCACCTTTTGATTTAAGTTCAGAATCTTTTGATATATCTTAAAAATAAATAAACAATTTGAAATTATTAAAAATAATCCTGAAATGTTAAAAAACTAACTAACCTGAAGCGTCTTCAGACTCTGATTTCAGGACTTTAAGCAATCCTTTATCTTCTTTTTTTGCATCTACTTCTTCTTTAGGTAATGATTTTTCTTGTTTTCCCTCTGAAATAGTTTCTTCATTCACCTTTTTAGTTTCTTTTTTAGTGTCTATGATTTCTCCCACCTTTTGCTCTACTTTCATTTCTTCCCCTGCTGCTTCTTTTTCTTTGACTTCTTTCACTTTGGTAGCTTCATCGCCTTTAACATCTACTTTAATAACTTCTTCTATTTTCACTGCTTCAATCTTTGCTTCTTCTTCTTTTTTGAGTTGTTCAATCTTTTGAGCTTCTTCGATCCTTTTAGCTTCTTTAATCTTTTGAGCTTCTTCATTTTTTGTAGCTTCTTCCATCTTTTTAGCTTCTTCCATTGTTTTAGCTTCTTCCAAATTTTTAGCTTCTTCAATCCTCTTAGCTTCTTTATCATCCTTTTTATCTTCAATTTTTGCATCTTCAATTGCATCTTGTTCATCTTGTTTTTTTGGTGGTTCGTGTACCGAAGCCTCGACCAAAATCTGTTTTTGCTCCTCCACATCCTCACTAGTATTGGAAATGATGGATTGTTTATCCTGATAGTCGGATAGTGATTTTCCGTTTAGAACTATAGTACTACTGCTTTCCAAATTGATTCTATTTTTGAAGTTGTCTATAACTGTTTCTGTAGTTTCATCTGAAGTGTTGGTGCTTTGGTCTTTAAGAATTCCCACGAGTTTCCCAGATTTTTCACGTGATGTGCTACTGCTTTTTAACTTGCTGTGTTTAGCGCTTTTTGGGCGTTTTTCTTTTTCTAAAGTTTGTGCACTTGTTGGTGTGTCACTTGGTATATGCACCTCGGTTTTTGAGGACTCATAGACTTCGTTGTCTTGATCGATAATGATTTCTTTTGTTTGATGTATGTTTATTTCTGTGGTACCGTTTATAACTACTTCATTGGTATATTCAACCTGACTTTTTGAAGACATTCTGCTACTTAACTGTCTAGAAATGTCCAATCCTGAGTTAGATTTGCTTCCTTTATCTTTGGTCTTTCGTTTAGATGCAGTATCTACTTTTTTCGAGTCTAAATCACTCTCAGTTGTGGAAGCTTTCTTCTTTTCATACTTACACGCCAATTTCTTTCTATAAGTTCTTTTTGCACTCTTATCTGTATCGCCGTTTTCTCTCTCACTATCGGAGCTTGTATAGAAAGTCACATCATCTCTAATCTGCAAGCTCATAGCGCTATTACCAGCCGGTAGCACTCTTCCATCTCCTATGCGACTTGCCGGTACACCACCATGTAACTGTAAAAATTTAGCAGTGGATCTGAAACCTCTTTGCAATGCACAGTCCAACGGTGTCATAAAAACGTTTTTGGAAGTCCTTAATATCGGATTGATTTGCGCTCCGGCATCCAGAAGAATCTAGAAACAATAAATTAATAAATTGACCTTTAATAAAATAATGATTGCTATCGCAATTTGAATAAGGGTCGTAAATTTAGGCGGTCAAGGTTAACACTTTCATGTACTGAGTGGTAGAGCGAATGCATGCCTTTTTTGTCATGCAAGGTTTGTTATCGATTTGATGTTAAACGAAAGTTGGTTTAAGATTTTGTTTAACATCAAATTTGCGGTGATTGTATCAAAAGAAAAACCTATTAGTCATGCTTACAAAGAAAAATATAAGTTTTAGTATAAATTTAGAATTTCTCATTTAACACTTTTGATAACGTTCATTTATTCTTTGTTTGAAGCTTAAACTAACATTATGATTTCAAAAGGTGTTTTTTTTAAATCAAAGTCTTCATGCTAAAACCACTTAAGTTTAATCTAAAACAATCAATTTTTTTTTCCTTGACCCGAAGAAGGTTAGGTTCAACATGAAAGCCCAAAAATATTTTAACCTATTTTGTTCATAAATATTCAATTTCTTTGGTATTTATCAATGTCATTTAAAAAGACAACTTCATTGTCAAGTTCATTATCATTTAATAAATTCGTTCAATCGATATGTCAAGTTAATGGTTTTCGGTGTAATTGTTTTTTCTATTGACAATCGTATATCAAATTTAGTGTTGTTAGTCTATTAAATGCATTTTCTGAAATTTACATAAAATATTTAAATTATATTTTAAATTTGTCCTTGGTTCTTTTATAAATTGTTATAATATGCATAATCCAAAAGATAAATGGTACAATACAACATTAGGTTTTAATTATATTCTGTTTGTTTTTAATGTCATGTAAATAAAAATAGTTTTTCACTGATTACAATAAGTTTCTTGTTATATGGCTAGTTCTACAAACAATAAAATCAAATAGAATAGTTTGTTGCATTTTAATGTATAATATTGCATTTTAATGTATGTATATTATTTAAACAGACCAAAGAAAATAATAAGGACTAATCAGGAACACCCCATATTTTTACGCTTCCTTGCTTAAAATATCTGATTGACACCAACACAAAATATCAATTGTTTTTTATTTTTTTTAATTGTTTTTGGATTGGTTTGAATCAACTTCAATTGGTATGAATTAGTGCATAATTTTAAAACAATTAAACTAAGATTTTAATCGGTTTTAATTTACGTTCGCTTTCATCAATTTCAGTTGGTTCGAATTGGAAAATACATTTGAAACTATTGAAGTAAGGTTTTAATCGGCGTTTTTTCCCCTCAATTTCAATTGGGCTGAATTGAAAAATTGTTTTTTCAATCGATTTTATTCGATTTAGTCAATTTCTGGTCGAAATGGCAGCTATCAAAATTACAGGTGCCAAAATGACGGCCGTCAAAATGACATCTGTCAAAATGAGGACTGTTAAAATTGCAGGTGCTGAATGACATTTTGAAAGGTGCCTAAATGACAGCTGTCAAAATTACTGGTGACAAAATGACGGCCGTTAAAATGACAGGTACAAAAATGGCAGTTCTGAAAATTACATTTGCCGAAAAAACATTGATCGTTGTGTTTCCTTAGAACCACGCCATCAAACCATCAAAATAAATAAAAACGATTGAAACTCAATCGTGTTCGCAATTATTTTGTATCATTTTCTTTAAGCAGGGTTGCTTCGTAGGGTGGCCCAAAAAATAAAAGTTTAAAATATTTTGTCACCCCTTGTGGAAATTTTTCTCTGAGAAAGTCTTACTTGAAAAAGTCTGAATAATACTTATTAAGTCGAAAAAAGTCAGAATAAGACTTATTAAGTCGGAAAAAGTCTGAATAAGTCTTATTAAGTCAGACTAATAGCACGATTTGGGAGTCTTCTGGAAGAGTTAATAAGACTTTTTAAGACTTAATAAGACTTTTAGTAGAGAAATGGTAGGTACCTATGGCGATAAAAATAAATATCCGAAATAATTCATAGAGGTTGTATTTGGTTATTGTAAAATAAAACACATAGAAAAGTATTTATTAACATTTTTGCTGTTGTTATAAGCCAAGTTTATTGCATAATTACCTATATAATAACATAGGTAAGATGTAATAATTATATCAATTATAATTTTGTACATACGATGCGCTTGACATGCATGCTTTCATTGTTTCCACCATAGAAAAAGGACTTACTATAGACATGATATTTTCGATAGACTCATAAGACAAATATGGTTGATCTTCGTGTTTCATTCATCTTTGTATCATGGTTGATCTTCGTGTTTACGTACAGTGTTGCCATAAAAGTTCCTAACCATAAATTACAAAATACTAAAATAATAAAAATGTAACAGGATAGAATAAAATAATTGTGCATATTTAGTAAATATACAGACTTAATAAGTATTATTCAGACTTTTTCAGAGAAAGTAAAACTTTTTCAGAGAAAAATTTCCACAAGGGACCACAATTTTTTTTATTCTATGACATGATTAAACGAATATGCATGTATTAGGAAAATAATATGAAACACTAATATTAAAAACTGCGACTGGGCGAAAAATATATTGCATCTGTTCTTTGTCCTTAAGGACAAATTATAAAGGTCCCTGTTTAACAACTCGTTATATTTTTAAATATATATCTTACAACACTTTTCACGAAATTCTTAGAAAACCGGTTCACATGGCCAATTCTGAGGTGGTACTTACAGGAACTTACTTTTGCATTTTCCTTCAATAATAAGGACATTAAAGAAGATTTTAACAAATGCAACGTGGACAATTATGCAATTTTGAACGCTTTGGTTTTTACTCATCGTCTCTTTAATTGTTGTAGCAGTATTCGTTTTTTCACCGATCTTCTTGTTTGGATAACTTTTTAGAATACCTATCAGTTAAATATCGTTATATGAACTTAAAATTTTAAGTAGAGCTTCATTCAAATATCTCACTTAAACCAAGCTCACATTTATATTTCAGAGTTTTTAGAAGAAGACGTAGATGGTTGTAAAATTGTTTCAGGCGTATCTTTACTTTACCTTTCTGCATAGAATATGAAACAAATCTTCAACAACAAACATTTTATAGCACAAATACTACACCAAAAAGACCACCCTGTCCATATGAGATTCGAACGAATATTAGTACATAATCACATACAAAAATGACCTATGTAAGAAGCAAAATTCAACAATGTTTTTTTCTCCATACAATTATTGTGCACCACCCTATTGCTTAGACATTATAAGTATGTTTAACGAATCATCAAATATAATAACATTATATATTATTACCTTGCACATATCGGAATTGTCATTTAAAGCAGCCATATGTATGGGACACCTTCCATCATTATTCCTAGCATTAACCTGACTGGGTCTCATATCCAACAACCACTTGACCAACTCTCTGCGCCCAGAACCTGCAGCCTCATGCAAAGGTAAGTCGCCCCTTGCATTCCTCAACCACAAATTCGCACCGTGCGATCCTATGAGCTTCACTGTCTCAAATTGACCTTTCGCGCAGCCACAGTGCGCAGGACTCCGCCCCTTCCGGTCCTGGCGGTTTGGGTCTGCGCCGTGCGCCAGGAGTAAGGCTGTGGCATCTGCGTGACCTAAAATTAGTTTTGTCATTTTGTCACAGGTTGACAAACAACTTTTCTAGGGTAATTTGGGTGCACTGGTTCCAAAAATGACCAACATTTTGCTTAATATGCTTGCGAAATTTATTGTGCAAATAATGAAACATGAATATAAAAGAAATAATTAGGCTAAAAAGGAAAAGCTAAATAAGTTTAAAATAATTTATTTTTACCTAAGGTGACAGCATAATGCAGAGCTGTACACCCGTTACTATCGATAACATCCGGGGAGGCCCCGCAAAGTGTCAAAAGCGTATCAATACAGTCGGTGTGACCTCTAGATGCGGCGCAATGCAAGGCGGTAAGTCCATCTTTATCGCATGCTTCCACGTTGGCTCCGGCCCTGATAAGGGACAAAAGGGCCCGCGCAGAGCCGGCGCTGGCGGCCCATAGAAGCGGTTGACGCTTGTCGCCGTCCATAACGGTTACAGAGATGTCGGTGTGCGCGAGCAAGGTCTGGAGAACTTGGAGGCCGAGGGAAGAGTCCCTTTCCTAAAGGAAATTCATTGCACCTAATATTAGCTATTTTCGCGGAGCTAATCCCGAACTAATTCCGGACGTACTAGGCATTTGTGGTTCAAAATATAAAGTGGTTTAAAATATAAAGTGCGCATGACAAATATTAAAATGCGCATGCCTAGGATGTCTGAACTAGTTCGGGATTAGCACCGCGAAAACACCTATAATTATCTAGAGACTTGTAACATAACCTCGTATATAAACAAAACTCTGTTTCTGCCGTTATTGTTTCGAGGAACATAAAAAGATTAAAACATAATTAGAAACAGAAAGTTTAAAATCGTATCCAACAAGTAACAGAAGAGTAACTAAACTTTAGGGAGCAACACTGCTGGGAATCTGAGCAAAACCGAAACACCGGATATGGAAACGAAATCAGCAACGCCATCTAAGTAACGAAACCATTCGGTATAGAAACGAAACTAGTAACGTTTCTCCAGCAGCGAAATTGTAATATAACATCTATGGAAAAAATAGTATATTATTAATTTTACCAACTTACTAGAATCCAGTTTTTTAAATTATTATTATAAGTACATAAAACAGCGTAACTTAAAAATAGACCAATTATTCTGTAAATATAATTTATTTAATGTATTAATTCAAACTTTTAACCAATACGCTAAAGAAGCATCGCTAGTAGCGCCACCACGTGAATGTTATCATCGTAATCAGATTTTAATAAGCAGCTGTAAAACGCGTATGTTACAAACGAGTCTTTTTGAGAATAAAGTCGGAAAATGTTAAAAATATCGAAAAAAAACCGTGGCACGATTTGTTGTGTTGTTGGGTGTTTTTCGGGAGGACATCCTGGGTTTTTACCGGTTTCCCAATAAACAGTGGAAATACAAATGAAGAAATAAATTACATACAGTTCCTGTAAATATAAATTGTACCTATTCAATACAATAAATACACATTTTAGTAATGATTTACCTAAAAATTGTAAAAATTTCAATTCAGTAAAAATCATAAAACAAATAAGTCGTCTAAATTCAAACAGCATTTAGCATTAATAAAAGCGTTGTTAAGAAAGTCTCCACTCAACAGTAAAATAACAATAACCGGTATTATATTATGTATTATATAAAATATTATGTTGCCATGAATTCTTAAAAAAGCTTAAATATAAATTATATTAGGCTCAATATTATATAAAGTTATCATTAGTTAATTCTGCACCAACAAATATATGTAGTTATTGTATTGGATCCTTTGTCAAAACATAAAAATGCAACGATTTAGTTTTTGAATTTTATTTACAATTAAAACACAATAATTCACCATTCACTTAAAATAAACACACTAACGTAACTATATAAGCCGACGGTGGTTTAGTGGTTAGTGCATGCTGACTATAAGCCGGAGGTCGTGGGTTCGAATCCCACCAGGGGTATGGCTGTTTATTTGTGTTTGTCCTATTGTGTATTAGTCCTTCGGAGGGGACTTTAAGCCCGCGGTCCGTTCCTACCCCTAACCCGCACAAGCCATTCAGTTGGCTTATGGGACTTCTTAAGAAGTAAGGGTGGAACTAAAAGAGCACTTTTGTATAACTTTTGTATAACTTTTGTATATAAGCGTTGAGTTTCCTAATCAATGATATAACGAATAATAAATAAAAATCAAGGACTAAAGCAAAGTTTTTTAGTTTTTATTTGCAACGCGAAACACAAATAATGTGCGCGATTTAGCTGTGCCATTGAACAAAATTTGTCGAGTAAGACTTTTTTCTGCCTTCCTCCCTTTTGTGAAAAAACTAATTATTTATTTAAACATGATGTGCAGTTCGTGTGCTTTAAATGTATTGTTGACAATTCTTAAATTCCCACAATGCTATCGAATACCACCAGATGGCGCGCGCTTTTCGAAAACCCGATGCTTCTTTAGCGTATATATGAATTTTCTTCAATGTCAAAATACTTGACAGCTGACAGCTTGACAGCTGCTAAACAGATCACGAAGATTTTCACCAAACATTGTATTCTTAAGCATTTTTTGAAAACTTTTGTTACAGTTCTGATACTAAGTTACTTTTACTATTTTCGTTTTAATATCCTGTGTTTCTGTAATAGTTGCGCTCCTGCAAACAGTTTCATAGCAATTTCGTTTCCCCTGAAACCGTTACCAAGATTTTGTTACTTTGGTACTCATTTTGGTACTAATAATTATTAAGTATCGTTTCTTAAAGTTTCGTTCGATTATTTTTAGTGACGCATTCCACAAGTCCCTGTTATTTAATATTATTTTAAAGATAATTAAAATGAATATAAAATTTTGAGAACCCGGTGGGTTTTTTAAAAAACAAATAGTTTAGTCATACAAAGTGCAAAAAGACGAGTATTTAAATAGTTTTTATTACTTGTATTGATTAACTATTTTACTAACCACGTAATAAATTTATTACACACACATTTTTTATTTTAATCATAACATTTTCCTTTACAGTCCAAACATAACTATAAAAAGCATATAATTTAGATTTCTTATCTTAACACTTTATTTTTATTTGTTCGTGCCCTTTAAAGTTTTAACCTACAATATTTGTAATTATGGATAATAAAATTTTTAATGGATAGGTATTTTATTTTTATACTTTGTCGTTAGCAGAAAATACAACAAGGTATTTCATTTTTAAACTTGTAATAGTACGAAAGTTGAATACATTACATACAAGTTATAAATTTAAAATTTTGACTATTTTAATTTAAATAATAATTATCTTAAAATAGTCATGCCTCAAACGAACAACTCTAGGGTTAACGTTCTTTAAGATATAAATACCACAAAACACAATAAAATAGTAATTATGACGCACAAATCAATAATACGCCAATAAACTTGATAAATTTTGTTTTAGTTCCGAAGTAAACAGAATTGCGCAAAAAAATGTTTTTTTACTTACACCACCACACATTTGGGCTGCATAATGAAGCGGGTAGCCCCCATGGACATCAGGGGTTGAAACTGGAGCCCCAGCTGCAAGAACAGCTCGTAAAGCTGATGTTTCTCCACAAACTGTAACAAAAATACAATCTAAAGAAAATATTTATTTAATATTTTCTTTGTCAAGACTTTGTGTAAATTATATTATAGCCTATAATATTTATATTATGCATGACATGGGGGAGGGGGTCTAAAATCTTCTGAAAAGGTGTGACGTACTTTATGGACAAACTCTAACTGGTCATTGGCTAAAAAGTTTTATGCATACGGTTATAAAACTTTTGTATTATAAGATAATTATTGGGAAAAAGAATTTTTTTAAATGTTGCCTATCGCAAATGTGTTTTTACCATTTTTGTTTTGGTACTATGTTAGTAGTATTAAAATAAACTCTTGTATAAAAAACGTAAATTTTTTGTATTTGCTTTTTTGTGCCTATTTTTAAGGTATTTTTGGATTTTTAATTGCCTAAAAGCCCGGTTTCTATTGATTATAAAATAAATCATAAATACCCATATAATTGTATTCTTATGTTTAAAAATATATTTTTTATTATTTAATTTCCGGGTAGCATTTACATTGTATCTTGTTACAATAACATGCTTTTTTACTTAAATTTTTATTATTACTAGATTAATCCGTACCGCCCCTGTTTCTCTGCAGACTGCAACAATCATTTGGCAATAAGTAAAGTAAGAAAGTAGGTTGGCTGTGGCCGCGTTACTGAATCGCAGTGGCCGTCGTCGCCGCCTGCGTGACTTCAGACGGGCCTTATAATTGACGTATACCTAACCTAACTGCTAATCAAATAGGCCGCTTTTGTTGTTGTTTGGACTACGGGGAAATGCACCAGCCGAATGCCCTACATAAAACGTCTGCGATCTGATTCGCTTTATTTAAAGTAGTCCGGGTGTTTTATAGGTAATTGATTTTTACGGTAAATGATAATTTGATAAGGGATTGTCAAAAACGCAACAAATATGCGGTTTTGAGAAAAATTTAGAAAAGTTGATTTAAAAAAGTTAAGTAGTAACAGTATTTTTTAAATTCTTTGGAATATTTAATGTTGGTGAATAAGGAATACTCGTATTCCCATATAATTAATACAATTTTCTTCGTGTTTATGAAAAAAAAATAATTTTACTTAATTTTTATTATTTGTTTACTGGTGTAAATTTCATCGCTACCCTAGAACAACGGGAAATGTCCAATTTGTCAGATTTGTCTGGGTAGTCCAGGAAACATTGGTTTATCCCGAACTCTACACAAGTTCTGTTTTATTTTTTTTTCTGGTAGACCATGGGGTGCTTATGGGTCTAACTTTTTCTTAAAAAAAATCGTCCTGGAACCTCCCTTTTAATCCTCCCAAAGGGGGTAATTTTGGATTTGTTGGAAACGGAGCGCTTCCTGTACGTTTAACAAAAACTATGTATAAATTAAAAAGAACTATATTCCCTAGCATTTATCCCCCCCCGGTCCTATGCATTTTTTCGTATTTGCAACAGTATGCAAACCTCAAAAATGCTATGACGGACTCCAGTTTTTTTCTATTATCTTGTCGCGTATACATTTTATCTCTAAAATACCTATGGTAAATGAAAGACCACAGTATCGGCTACAAATGAGGTCTTATGCTTTTTTACGTTCTTGCCACCTTAAAGGCACAATGGTAGCCCAAAGTTCAGCAAGCTTCACACAAACTCCGGAGCGAGGGGTAAACCACTGATTTTTTAAAATTAAAAATTGCTTGCGATATAACGGCTAAGGATAACAACAACAAGGGTAGTCATTAGGGTGGGCCGATTTTAATATTTTTCAAATATCAAATTGTGCAATGGTGGAAAAGTTGTGCATTTATAAGGCCAGAAAAATATTATAAGAGTTTTTTTTTTTAATTTTAATTTCTTAAACTGCCGCAAGGCCTTGAAAGATCTTAATGTAATTTAGTATCGTTATAAATACGAAAAAAATTATCTGAGAGAAAATAGGGTTAAAAAAAGTTTTGAATGATAAATATTTATTAAAAAAACAAAAATAAAAATGAATTTATCATCAACACAAATTTAATTCAATTTATAATCCTGTTTTACCTGCCATTTTTCACAAACACCCAAAAACCACAAACAGATACTACTTGTAAAAATTTCTATTATTCAACTAATTGACGAAGTCAAAATATTATAATTTATATAAACAGTGAAGCCAACTGTAAACTGTCCTACGTCAAACACGAAAATCTTAAAAAATATTTATTCTCCATTTTACGCCGTCTCTCCAATAATTGCAATTATTGCAAAATTTAAAATTTACAGTTTGACTTCATACAGTTCAAAACATTAAAAAAGAAAAAAAATATTAAAGGAAAATAGTTTACTTCCCTATTTCACAACTTTTCCGCTTATGAATAATTTTAATTTTTTTTAAAATTACTTTTAAATTTTTAGAGGCGTTGCGGCAGTTCAAAACATATAGATATCAAAAAAAATATTTTGCAAAAAATGTTTACTTTCCTATTTCACAACTTTTTCTTAAATGCAGAATTTAATATTTTTAAATTTTAGAAGTTAAATATAAAATCGGCCCACCCTAGTAGTCATGTACAACTCGTCGCTAAGCACTGATTAACCACCGATTAAGCAAGTTTTCCTTATTGATAACGATTAATAAGGAAAAAAATCTCAACACAACGTCCACTAACATTGAACGTTGGTCTCTAAGATTTTAAAGTGGTTTACCCCTCGCTCCGGAGGGATGTTACCATATATATTTATGAACATCTCATTGGGTAGGGTATTTGGGTATTGTTAAAAAAAATTCTAAAATTATTTTTTTTATGTAGTCAACTTTGGGACGACATCCATGCTAAACGGTGGGTGATAGACATACGAGGTGTGTTCAGAAAATAACGGGAATTTTCGTTTTTTTAAAAAAATATTTATTTATTCGTCTACAGTTGTCGCCTTTAAAATAGTCCCCATTAGATACTTGTGCCTTGGCCCTTTAAGGTTCTCTTTATTTTGGGGAATAGTAAAAAGTCAGACGGAGCCATGTCTGGCGAATATTTAGGCTGGGGCATCATTACAGTATTGTTTTAGGCAAAAAATTGTGTTTGAAATTCAACAATTTTGGAACAAATTTTGTTGCCACGCGTTTCATACCCAAAACATTCGAAAAAATTTCATCGATATGCCAAAATCGTCAGCGACTTCTCTGATTGTAATTCGGTGATCGTTCATAACCATTTCTTCCATTTTTTCCATGTTTTTATCGGTTGTTAATGTGCTTGGGCGTCCGGGGCGTTCGTCATCTTCAACGTCTTTACGGCCATCTTGGAAACTCATATATCACTTATAAACTCTTGTTTTACTCATAGCAGACTCACCATAGGCCTTTCTTAACATTTCACACACTTTATTTCATTTTTTACGCAAAATTTGATACAAATTCTTTGATCCATTTCTTTTAACGAACGAAAATCGCCGAGCTCATAAAAAACCGTCTAACCTTAGCGGCTGCCACAGACAAAGTAAATAATGAAAACATTGTCATTTTGATTTTTATCATTCTTCAGGGGTATGTATAGTATTGTATACCAACATAATAAAGACAATTTTATGACAACCGGACTCTCCAAACCCGCGAAATTTAAAAATTCCCGTTATTTTCTGAACACACCTCGTATGCTGTTGCGGGAGAAATTGTATAGTCCTCTTTAATATACTAATTACTTAAAAAAAAAACAAAAATTACCCCCATTTGACGAAATTTTTTAAGAAAAGTTAGACCCATAGGAGAAATTGTATAGTCCTCTTTAATATACTAATTACTTAAAAAAAAACAAAAATTACCCCCATTTGACGAAATTTTTTAAGAAAAATTAGACCCATAGGTAATAAGCACCCCATGGTCTACCAGAACAATAAAAACTGTGAGAGAGAGAGAGAGTTTGTGATGTTAAACTCGACAAGAAAATGTTAAAGAACTCTAAGTGGTAATCGTTTACAAAAGCTAAGAATGGTTCACAAGAAATCTATAAACTATCTGCGATAACAAAATTGACGATATGACATTAAACTTTTCTTGCTTTCGAGAAAACGATTTTTGCACGGCACCAGATTACCCTGTTACCCTGTTCCGATTCAAGGCGAACCCCGAGGTTAGAAATAGCATAGATGAACTCATCAAATCAAAAGCATATGAGAATACCATGATTATTGGGGACTTAAAAAAAGTCCAGTTTACATCATGACAATCGCATTATATGTAATGGATGATTAACTCATACCGTGAATTTTTTATTATGCCATGTATATTATGTCATGTATATTATACATTGTATATCATGTGGCATAAATGTATACATATGCGCGTCATCAATAAAGTTTATGTGATGTACTTACTTAACATGCACTCAAAATGACCACAAATTTATACACGGTGCTGTTCTGAGAGGTGATTTTTGGACTTTCTGTGAAACCTAATTTTTTTTTATATTCTTATTAATTAGGTAATAACTAAAATTTTAAGAGCAAAATAAAAAAAATTTAAAACTTGAAATTTTAATTAAATATTATCATAACTTTTTAAATCAGATTAAAGATTAGTTAATATCCTAAAAAAAGATCTATACATTTTTTATATCTTTTACTGTTTTGTTGTAATACACGTTTAAAGTTTTAATTTAAGGTTAAATGTATAGTATACATTTATTAAACAATAATTCTAAGGGTGCCACATTTTATTTAGGGCCGATTTATTCATTTTTTATTTATTTGACGAATAATTTCTTTGGATACTAGATATTGCCAAGACATGAAAGTTATCGGCCCGATAAACTTTACTAAAGATTAATAAACCGGTCCTTAGTTAAATTTCATGAATTTCTTCGTAACTTTTACTACAATTTTTCATTTTTGTTTATAAAAAACACTTAAAAAAACTAAACAAAAATTATAGAATACGTAAACTGAAAATGACAATTCAAACATCAAATAAATTTTTAATAGATCTAAGTTTCATGGCAACCTTTAAGAATATAATAATTAAGGGAACATAAATGTATACGACAAAGG